AAAAAATTACAGGTTGTGCCCGTGGCAAAAAAATTCAAATTTAATGGAATTGAACCAGCCTTGGATGGGAAATTGGATGGCATGTTTACTGGTGTTGTAGCAACAGGAACTCATTTTTCCACCCCTAATGAGCAGGGTGTTGCAAACCTAGCTGAGGATATAGAGACCGAGCATATAGGTGATTCATAGAGACCGAGCATATGTAAATATGTTAGCATTTAAATTATGAACATACCAAAATAAGATTCATTTCCGTAGAAAAAAGAGTGTCATCTCACTTTAGAGGGTGTATATATATATATATATAGACACACACACTCCATTTACAAACCATATGCATCCCCTTTTAATGGTAGTTTTGGCCGCAGTCTTCAAAATAACACAGCACATCCCCATCTTTTGATGTGCTGTGAATGAAGGCTTGAACGATGCATTGCTGGTTTCTGCACCGAAATGTCTTAATACCCAATCAGCTTCACTCAAATTTCACACAGCTTCAAGTGATGTTAAAGTAACAGATAATAGTCATTTGTGTTATATTTTTCTGTTAAAGTGCACTTGTATTCCATGTTTTAGTTCAATACCATGCTATAAGATGAGCTAGGGAAAAGTATACGAATTAAGTTTATGGTGAGAGGACTTCCTCCTTTCTTTTGCAAGGTTCAATTTGCTGAAATAATTTTAATGTATCTTTTTATAATAATTTCTCAGCTTCTAAAATATCTTAAAGATGAGATGCTGATGGATTATTTTGTTGCATCTTTGTTAGTTGATGCAACAAAGCTTGGTAATCTTTATATGGTTGCTTTATAAACCTTGGTTAGATGAGAGATCTAATATTCTTTGGTCTTTCCTCTCAGTTCATAAAGCTTGGTTTCATGATACCTTGTATACTGATGTTATTAATGGAGTTCTATTTTACTTATCTGGTCTCCTTATGAAAGGAGAGGGTGAAAGTTATCCCATGTTTGTGATCTTACTTAGCTGGTAATCAACAGTTGATGCTTACAACAATTTTTGCTGCAGCCATGCACTTCAAAAGGAAAGGTTCACATTTATGCCATGGTTGTAATCTTATCGCTTTGGTATGTACATTGAAGCCATGCTTCTTATATTACTCCATTAGCTGGTACTTCAGCTGTAGTTTTGGGAAATGTATGTTTGCAAATCTTATATAGTTTCAGCTTTGGATGAACTTTGAGAAGCTGGGAGTATATGCAATCTATATGTAGCTTGGATGGCCCCATGCTATGTATGTAGCTTGGATGGCAACC